AATGGGATAATTAATTTTAGTCATTGTAATTTAGGGTATTTATAAGATTAGTCCTTAAGTTTCAACTATAAATACCCTAGCTCATTTAGCTTCAAAATCATCCCAAAGCATTCTAGCTTTCTTCCAATACTAGAGAAATTTTAGAGAGTTTCTTGAGAGTTGTTTTCTCCTTTTTATCTAGAGAGAATTATCATTGTTTTCTCCTTGGTAGATCAAGAGAGGTTGTAATTCCTATTTTCTCATAGTGAAATTCTTCTACCGTTGCCCGTGGTTTTTACCCTAAATTTTTAGGGGTTTTCCACGTAAATTTTGTGTCTCTTTTATCTTCATTTTTATTTTCTCAAATTATTAGTTACAATTTTGCTCTATCCGATAGCCGTCTTCCGCAACAATAAACTCCATTTATATTGAGCGTATCATAGGCCTCCTTATTTATTTATTTTCCTCTCCCCCTATGAAACTAGCATAGCTTAGATCTCTTATTGCATTGTTAGGAGTGGTTTTCCGATGATTGATGGATCTTTAGACTATTAATTTGTTTATAGTTAAAATATTTTTTAATATAGAGATATGCAATTCTCATTGATTTTTTAATATGAAAATTATAATATTTAAATGACTTATTAATTTTTAAATCATAAATAATTACGTTTAATATATAAATTATAATATTTAAATAAGATATCATTTTTAATTTGTAAATAGAAAGTAACTATATTTAAATTTATTACCCTTTAAATGTTGTAATAATTAAATTCACATCTTTAATTGAATTTTATTTTCATTTATAACTTTAAAAATTATTCTTACAATTCTGATTTTAAATACCAAGAATTTCCTGAGCTTTTTATATAGTTTCTTAGAATTTTTTTTACAAAATAAAATATTTTATAATAACAATGATAAATATATACAAGTTAAAGCATCAACATGATAAATTTTTTCACAAACCCAAATGAAAAGAAAGAAGAAATTGAGGGAAGAAATATATATTTTAGTGATAAATTTGAAGATAAGTAGTTGAATCCCAGTGCCTATGGTGTACTTGTTAAGTTAATGGTTGAAGTAGGATACTTGGATTCTCCCATAAAACTCTGCCCAACCCTACTTTCTCAATAGATCCCATTGAAAATAAAAAGGGCAACTCTTGTGTTGTCAATTCCCATGGATCATTCAAAGTCCCGCGGGATCTACTGCAATCGTATTTCTCATCCTCGCTGCAGCTCTCTACATTTGCTTATGTTCTCCTTCAACATCAAACCCTTTCCTTGATAATTATTCCCAGCAAAACAAAACAACTGCCACTGCTCCAATGTGGTAAGTCTCACTTTCATTTCAGTTTGTAATCTTTAATAGCATGATATTCATTTTCTCCCCTGTTAGGACTACTACTGTAAAGGATGAGCTTGAATTTGCTCTGAGCAAAGCTTCCATGCCAAACAAGACGGTAATAATTGCAGTCGTGAACAAAGCATACGTTGATAAAACTGTTGTTGAAAACGATGGTGGATCTTTTCTTGGAGAGCTTTTGGCTAGGAGAAGATACTAGGCCACTGCTCCACCATCTCTCACTTGTTGCCGTTGATCAAACGGCTTATCAACGCTGTCAATTTCAGCGCATGCACTGTTACCGATTGGTGACTGAAGGTGTTGATTTTGAAGGAGAGAAGGTTTTAATGTCAGACGACTTCATTAAGATGATGTGGATAAGAACTCTTCTTCTGTTGGATGTCCTCAACCGTGGCTATAACTTAATCTTTACGGTATATCACACTTGTTCAACAACTTGGTATATATTCTATCCTAACCTTCAACAACTTTATTCAATTAAAAGTAAATATTTATTGTTGTCATTGTCAATTGTCATTAGTAAAAAAAAATACTAAACTAATAAAAGAATTGTTTAAACAATTCAAATCTATGATTCTACGTTTATAAAGTGAAAGAAATCAATATAATATTTTCAATACAAAAACTACATTAACATCTCTCTTTAAAAAACTGCTCGATAAAAATAATTATTTATGAAGGCAACATGCGTCCTTATACAAGAATATTTCTTAAGAGAATATAAAATCTTATTGAAGTAACAGTTGTCTCTAAATTGGACAGAAAGTAGACTTTTAATTATGGTTGGAAAATTAAAGATTTTATCTCCAAATATATCTCTTTATTGAAATGAAAATATTCACCATCAATTTTCTGATTTTTATGGTAATGAAGATTTTTTAAAAATATTCTTCTCATATTACTCGTTAAAGTCTCGTCTTACATGGAATAAATTCATTAAAAATATTATAATTTAATTTGAACAAAAAAGCCAATTAAAATTACATAAAAACTGAAATAGCAAAACCCTAAACATAAAAATAGATAAATGTAATTAAATAACTTTTTACACCAACATTAATAGATAATTTTCATCAACACAGTTAATTATAAATATACACTCCTATTTTACTCATAAAAGTTGAATATTTTAACACTTTTATAATGAACACATTTTTCTTACCCAAGTTCAAATTAATATTCTTTTTATGTGCGAGAATTATACCCAACTGGTCATCTATTGTGTAATACAATTAATTAGATTTAATGGAATTTATTAACAAGCATCAGTTGAAAGGGTAGGGTAGTTTCCCCCATGTTGGATTACTTAAAAATGAGTTAGGATACTCTATTCACTTTTTATAACAAATTTTAATAATTATTATTTACAAATATGACTTTAATAATTCATAAGTGAGTCACATATAATAAATAAAGGATATTGAAAGTATCCGATCTAAATGTTACCACCATGGATGCTTGTACTTCTCCATCTGTTTTGAGTTGGATTTTTTAAAAATAATTCTGTTCACTGTTTTTTTTTTCCTTAACCAAGTTCACTGTACCAAAACAAGAAAAAATATATATAAGAATCAAGCAAGGAGACGCGTAACTGAAAACAAATCATCCTTGTTTCCCATTTCAAGGCAGTGAACTAAAGCCGTGATCAATTACACAATGTAAAAGCCAAAAGGGGCTGAATATGAGGAAGAAGGGAATAAAATAGCAGATGGGCAATGTAAATTAACTTACCTGAACCAGATAATAAAATATGCGAAGATCCTCAGGATCCTTGCTGCTCTGGAGTCTGGACATCGACAAGAGACCCAATCTTTGAAGTAATGAAAGAGATATGCTCATTTCCAATCACAATCCCAAGCTCCTTCCGTCCAACACTGTCAGGCTTTGGCCAGCTGTTACCATCTTCCTTCATGATCTACACAAAACCAACGGACTTTTAACTAAAACAGAAACAATGAGATGATAAAGTTTGAAAACTTTAAACCCAAGTGTGCATTGGAAGAAGCAGAGATTAATACTAAACACAGAAATACCCAATTATCAACTAAAGGAAGTAAACCTTTTAACATTTCAAAGAAGAAGAAGAAAATGTGATTAGGTTTTGATTTATAAGTTACCAAACAGCAACAAAACCTAGAACCTAGCTGAAATTGACATCAAAATAAATGGAAAACACAAAAAATATCTAATACTGATTTTAACAAAATATTGAGCAAACAAGAAAAACAATCCAAGATTCCAGTACAAATAAAATGAGTAACTTATCCGCAAAACGTAGGCAAAATTGAAGTCCGGCAATGATGCGGCCGCTTGCGGATCATCGTGTCGTCTTCGTAGTTGGAGTCGTTAGCATATCGGAGGTTCCCTTTGGCCGAATTTTCCTTTGTGGCCCACGTAGTAAAGGAGGTAAAACTCTCCACCGTCCTCGGCCGCCATTGTTTCCGTCGGAGTCTCGTGTCTGAACAGCGGAGTAAGGATTCTTGTGGATCGGTTTGTAAAATGTATGGGTAAGGTCTTGGGCCCAATCAGTATTTGGTTTTTTATGGCCTTGTAGTCAATATATTGCGTAAACCAAGTTTGAAATCATCCATATGTTCTTGCTGACGGCTGACCTATCTCACTCAAGAATACTACAATTGACCTGACCTCTTATTCTGTATTTTCTCTCAATCCACAATTTCCGTATTAACAGGAGTTTTAGGCTGCATCCCCAAATCAGAGGCAGCCATTTCCAACGGAATATGTCACCATGTCTTCATTTATGCAATGCAACCCAAACCTGTAGGCACTCTGACTTTGCCCAACCAAACTCGAAACTCATCCCCAGATCTGTGCTCCTCTTTTCCATTTCTATTTTAACAACTACATAAATGCCTTGTTTGATATCATTAATACAGTGATTTTTTTTTTTTTTTGAAATTAGGATCATAAGAATCTCTTTAAAATAAATTTATTGTTAATCCAAAAATTATGCAGCAGCGGGGAAAGATTAATTTACTAATTCGACGAAATTATATATTTATTTTATAATAAAATAGAGGGTAACAGCATTTTATCTCGATAATTTTTTTCTATTGAGTTACAAAGAAAGCAAGGGTCAGTAGAGTAATTTTATCTCGATATTCAAACAAGGTAGACGCAACAGCATACAATGATACAAATTCAATGTTAACCACATCAGGATATATCGTAGCATAAGTTAAAACAAATCGTATATTTTAATCAAAAGTGTTTTGTTTTCTTCTACTACCTTCCACATGAACACATCCGTCTATGCCTCATGTCTCACGTTGGAAATATGGTAAATAATATACTAATAATAACTTCAACCTCCATAATGGTGTGTGAGTCACCCCCCCCCCCTTCCCAATTGTATAGCAACGTTGTTTTTGGTACTCATTCAGGTTCCGCATCACGGCGTTGTGGGTCCCACCTTCACCTTGACTTTACGAACCCTCACGCTTAAAGTTCTTTCGTGGCTTTTCTCCCGCTATATTCTTCCCTTCTGCGCATTAATGAAGAAAAAAACGTTTACATAAAATACTACACTTCCATCTCAATATACATTGCAACTGCACATATCGTGGCAGATAAGATTTTAGGACAACTTATCTCAACTCTAGCATATAAATAGGAAGAGCAGGGTGCTCCATCCTGCCATTCTCCATATACTCCGAAACAAGTCAAGCATGGAAGGGAAAGGTGAAAGCTCCAACAAGTCATTTACTAGTGTAATGGCACTTACCAAGATGAGGGTACCTCGTGTGCCTCCGCGCTATGTTCTTCCTCCATCGCAACGTCCAAACCCTATGCTTGACCTCACCACAACCCTTCCCATTATAGACCTTTCCACCTTGCAACACCCTGCTCAAAGGTCTCTTGCACTTGATAAGATACAAAGCGCCTGTAAGGAACTTGGGTTCTTTCAGGGATCATTCATGGTCACAAGTTTGCATTACTTTAACCCCAAGTCCACATCACTATAACTGTATTTCTTTTCAGCATAAAAGTAGGTGTTATGAATCTTATTCGTGTTTATCGGTTTAACATTCCAACTGAACAATGTGTGCGGGAATGTGTGACCTTAAAATGAAAATTTTGCATGTACATTTATAGTATATATGTTCTACTTAACAAATGAGACAATCCAAAGCATGACATCTATATGATGGGATGCTTGCTTACTGAAAAAGCTTCAAAGCAATCTAAAATTACATAGACATCATGCATGCCTATAACACTCACATTTTTTTCAGGTTTACGGTAAACCATGGCATCCCTCTTTCCATCATGAATGATGCCCTTTCTGCTGCAACAGAGTTTTTCAACTTGTCTCTTGAGGAGCAAATGCCTCTCTCATCAGATAATGTGCATAACCCTGTAAGGTATGGCACCAGTTTGAATCATGCAAGCGATAAAGTTCACTACTGGAGAGACTTCATCAAGCATTACTCCCACCCTATTTCTGATTGGATTCATCTATGGCCTTCAAATCCTCCAAGTTACAAGTAAGCAAGCTACCATTATCTTTGAGTTCTTTGGCTCGTATGGAAACATGACTTTTAAAATTTGGGTTTCACTTGTTATTGTAAATGGTAAGAATGAAAATGGACAAATGGTTAAGAATCAATCTAATATATAGTTCAAAAGTATTAAAGCATGGACTTATCAAATCCAAAATGATATTAGGAATTTCAAATTCGCTACTAAATAGGCATGTAACAAATTCATAGATTTCAGAAATAATCATGAATGTTACATTATTTTATTGCTCAATCTACACTATCTTTGAAATTCCAATCCCAGTTCCCAAAGGCTACCTTAAATTATTTGACATAATTAGCATGTCTTAAATGTGGCTAAAATTGGCATATTCTAGATCTAAGAACCATAATGCATGCCTTCACAGGAAGAAACAACAAAAGAGAGAAAAAAAAAAGACAAATTATAATTTCTCTTTTTGTCCTTTCCATTTTTTGCTGGAGCAACACATGATTTCCTTTTTATGAAATTTCCAATCACGTTCAAACTATTGTGGGGCATTGACTTTAAAATAATTTTCCTTCTATTTATTTCTTTTTCTAAGGGATCAAATGGGAAACTATGCAAAGGCAGTACAAGTGCTACAAAAGCAACTGATGGAAGCCATCGTAGAAACTTTAGGGTTAAACTTTGGAAACTTGCATAACGAAATTGAAGGCAATCAACTCATGGCCATTAATTGCTATCCACCTTGTCCTGAACCAGACCTCGCATTAGGTATGCCACCACACTCGGATTATGGAACATTAACTATCCTGCATCAGAGTGGCCCAGGGCTACAGCTCCAGGACAACAAGAAGAACTGGCTCTCTGTTCCATTTGTTGAAGGCGCTTTAATAGTCCAATTGGAAGATCAGATGGAAGTGATGAGCAATGGAAAGTACAAGAGTGTCGTTCATCAAGTGACTCTTAATGCAGAGAACAAGCGACTGTCCATAGCCAGCCTTCAGAGTCTACCTTTAAACAAGAAAATAGGACCCGCACCAGAGCTTGTGGATGAGCAACATCCTGCCTCCTATGATGAGTTTAGTTTTAGAGATTTTCTTGATTATATCTCAAGCAACAACATTGCAGACAGAAGATTCATTGATTCAATTAAGAAGTCAGCATGAAGGAAATGCAACAGAGTTTATGCTGCTTATATATTAGGGTTTCTTAAAGTAAAATGGAATGAACGCCTTTAGCTCAATCAAACAAGTTATCTGGTCTTTCTGCATATGGTTAAGCGAATATGATACTATAAAAAGACATTAGTAGCTGAAGTTTTTATTTTTTTGTGTCAACACAATAGAAGTATCCAAGAGTTTGTATTAACGTTCGAGTCAGAAAGCATAAATTAGCATATCAACAAACAACTATTTTATAGAAAGTAGTCAAATATGTTTTCTCTTTCATTTCAAAAGTTGCGAATCACAATAGTGGAAAAGGCGGAATGATTCGATTTCTTTAAGTATCAGTTTACCTCCAAAGTTCTAAACAATTGGTAAGTAACAGCAGTTTGTAATTGCAACCTTCAAAGCGTTCCTTGGTGGGAAGGATAGAAACAAGGTAAAGAATAAAAGTTTGGATCTAATGGTTACGTTCCATAACATTTTCCTACTTTGTAGCTTAACATTGGATCGAATAGTTTTGCAAATATAGAAGTGCTCGATAGTTTTAGTATTTTGGATATCAAATCATCTCCTCTACATTTGGAATTATTTAACAGAAATCATAGTTCAAATCATCTCCATTACACTTGACTTTATTTCATAGCATTTTTAGCAATCATAGTTGGATTATCCATACTGGTCTACAATTGGAGTTCAACTGCCACTCTCTAACTTAGTCCCAAAATCAAAAACCTAAAATACAGTCTCAAACTCCAATTTTCATCATATTCAGTCTTCAGCATAAACTTAATTCTTTTTCGCAATAGTTGGAATCCAATCAGCTGGATTACTTGTTAAATCACTTTCCCAATCCATTTCTTCCCATATTCCTTTCGTTTATAGAAGACAAATTCTTAATTTAGACCAAAATAGGATGACTGAGTTTATTAGAACAATAAATCAAGGAGATGATTAAATAATGTGAAGAAGAAACGATCATAAAGAGCTAATTATGTCGATTATTGAACAAGTATAAAACTGAATTTTCTAATGTATAATCGAATCTCTATCACATATTAAAAGATTGATCCAAATTAGTATGAAAAGATGTTGAATCAATTCTAATCTCTCAATTTTTTTGGAGGTAAAGATAAGACAGCTTACTCATAAATCAAACGGCTTAAAATCAATCCCATTTTTCGCCTTTGATCCCCGCGAAGCTCTGTTTTCTCCGCCCACTACTCCCTTCTGCGTTAGTCCTTACAGATGGAGGAAAAGACTTTATTTATTTATTTATTTAACAGCTGTTTCTAACTGGAATACGAGTGCTTACACGCTAGTTATGGAAGATCACTGGTTTAGATTTGGTGTGGGGCCGCAATATTTTTTTGCTCAAAATTAAAACGCCACGTTTCCGGTGATGATGTGCTACTATCTACGTTTGACTTTGGAGAGATGAAGAAATCATATAGAAATGTTTTTCCGGATAATCCGTGACAATGGCGTCCTATTTAAACGTAATTACGGCTAGCTTCCTTCAAAATTTTGCTGCCTCGTCTCCCCAATTTGCTTGTGAAAGATAATTTCCTTTGTCACGGGTATTCGAATACAACTATTTATGAAACATGTTTCATTTTCTTTAATAACACTAAAAATTCTAATTATATATTAAAGAAAATAGAATAAACAAACATCGTATCTTATATTTTACGTCTTACCAATTCTATAATTTTCAATTATATCACATTCTTCAAAAACGACAATACTAACATTAATAATAATAATAATAAATTTTACAACAATACAAATGAGGGCTAATTTTTCAATTTACAAGTGATGGTAAAATCTCTTTCAAGTATACCATTTGCTAAACGTTGGCTTGTCTTATAAAAATGGTTTAGTGAATTCAGTCCTTACATTCTACCTTCTTCTTATTTAAGTATACTTTTTTTTGTCAAAAGTGGTCTTTAGATTATTTTTCTTCCTCTTATATCTAATAAGATCATGTCATACATTATGTTCTTATTAGTTGACATTTATTTTTGAAAAAAATAGAAATAATATAATAGTTTAGATATCACTTCTAAAATATACGTCTAGGTAGGGAAATGTATAATTTATGAGTCAATTTATTTAACTATTAGCGTATTTCTATTTTAATTATCAAACAATGTTTTTATTCAAAAAAAAATATCAAACAATATTGTGAGCAATAATCATAAAAAACCAGTTTGTTTAAATCGACAGGAAATTCATGAATAGAATTACTTTTTTTTAAAAAAAATCCATGCCTATTAGTTAAATCAGTGTGAAAAGAGATATAAAATAATTAAATTAAATGAGATTTAAGGAACAAAATGATTCCAAAATCCAAATGCAGCATCAGTCTTCAATAATTTGCGAGGTTGACACCGCTAAGTTAGTGGAACTAACAACGTTTCCCCTCCAACTGATTTCTGACGGAGAAACCGCCTACACTCTGAAATCCATAGAAAGAGGGAATCATAGAAGCTTACATTACTTTTCATGCTGATAGAAGAAAAATAGAAAATTAAATATATACTAAAAAAAACACTAGTAGTTTCGTGTTATGTTGCTAAAACTTAACATTAACATTATTAACAAAAGAAACTTACCACAACATATACTAACTTCAAACCGCAGTAATGTGCTACTATTCTGTAGTACTCGTACACCATTTTATCATGCAAAAGGTAAAAGAAAAGGACTTACAAACTTCCCTAAGTGACCATAAAATATTATATCCATCAACCCTGTTACAGTGATTTTTTATTGCATTCAAACATAAATTCACCATCTTTCATTGAAAACTCCAAAAACATAATCTTCAAGGATTTCTAAACCTTGCAATTCTTAGCTTTTACCCTTTTTTCAATATTTTGCCTTCTCAATATATACAAGTATAACATAAATAAGCACTTATTTTACAATAAAAAAATGTGATAAGACTAGATCAGATGGCGTTCACCGTCTTTTGTTACCAGAAAAGGAAACGGTGCATGGTTTTACCTGGTCATAGGAGCTAAAAATTCATTACTCATCCCGGCTGGTGAACTGGTTTCTAGCAGGATTTATCCATTCCCAATCGTTTTGCCGAGCAAGATGATGAATCAACAACAAAGAAATTCATTGACATAAACGGTACGTTATTATCAAGATTAATTTGTCGAAAAAAATCAATGAACTCAATGACTACAACTATAAATTATTTTACTCTCATTTCGCCGGATACAGGATTAATTCAAATGTACTCTCATTGATTTATGACCCATCCACCTTCATTGAAATGATTAAACAACTTACCTGATGAATTATTAGGTTTCCCACTGCAATTAGGGAAGGAGAAACATGCAATGAAATCCATAGTATCAGCTATAAATGTCTGAAGCGCATACTTGTTCTTTAAACCTAAGCGTACTCACTCTGCAGCTTGCTTCCATAGAGGCTTCAGTTGTCGTAAAAATGCTTAGTCACGCTCGTGAATTTATATATGTATATAGCATGTGAACATAAGGAATGCTCAATGCCAGTTTCTTTTTAGTCAAGTTATTGTTCTGTTGGATGTCACTAATTCAATGTACGTACAGCCGAATATGCAACGTTCGTATGCGACAGCTTTCGTTTGAACAGCTAACTAACCTAATAAGACTAAGTTAAAACGACAAAGATATTGTGTATTTTCAATATTAGTGAAGCTGTCAATTTGCAGTATGTGATCAAAGCCACAATGGGGGAAAGGGGAAAAAACAAAGATCTTGCTAACGCAGTAGTCAACGAATCACATGGCCAGCTGGAGAAGAAACATGAATTTGGAATTAATGAAGAGCACATGGTTTTTTACGTCTCCGTGCCCCCGAATTTATGTCCCACTAGCGGGTTTAGATTTTCTGGCTGACGTTCGTCCAAATGCCGATTGCCATGACTTCACTAGCATTTCATGTTCCAAATATAATTTAATTAGTTACTTTACGTGTACATAATTGAGCAGCGTGATGCAGCTGGAGGCTGCTGTGCCTGTGTTGCTGCCTGATTAATGCTTCGGTGTGAGTGTTCTTTTATTTTTAATATCTAATTTATTGACTGATTAATTTATTTGAAATATTATAAAATTTTACTAAATGAGTCATATTCTCAATCCTGATTTTTCATTTAAAATATCAGAATTTAAATATTTGACCTTATTTAAGGATTTAACTCTGATCATACTAAATCAACCAATGATCAATAGTGTGGTCGTTCTTTCTCCTTTTTTGGTAAACCATACTAATATCAAATCTATTTGATTGAGTAGTCTAGATCTGGTACCGTAAACATTCATTATGATGATTCTCTCAACCCAATTATTTCATAAATAGGGAAACGAACTAAGGAAGAAAGGAAAAAACTTCATTTAATATACCACGTCTTTAACTTACAAAAGCAATTATATATATACAAATTATCATAACAAACCAATTGTAACTTTTTATTGAAAAATATAAAATTGATTTACTCTTTATTTTTTTATCTAATAATGGAGAAATTCGATGAAATCGCATAAAATCTAGGAGTGTGGGACAAGGCTAATACATCTCTAAGACTTTTCAATCCAAAATTAGGACTAGAAACTTGTTGTAAATCTCAGAAGAAGGCAAGATTTCCCTACACCAGAGTCTTCAGTAAGTAGAACCTTGAACCAGATAGTCTCCGCAAAATAGTGCAATCAGATAAATTAACATGCTTTTCAATATAGCACATATGTAATATCATAAAGTTAGTTTATAGTACTAGAAAAGAGGCCTGCTCCCAAATTCTAATACAGAGGCATTTTCAGAAAGGAATGATAAAGCTGCACTTATTAAAGTGCTCGAAAATCAAATTAACTGTCCAAAAATAAAACCATGTGAGTTTAATTCTTAATTTTTTGGGAGCATCAAGAATGGTGCAAATTAAAAGTGCATTTCACTTTCATTCATAGCACTACAAGTATGTTTAAAAGAAAAAAGCAGTAGAAGTGAGCACATGATTCCCACATCTCGCCAAGAAAATGAAGAAAAAATTTAGACACTATTTCGACTCATTCAGATATATTTCTCCATCACAGATAATCAATTCGTTTGATGAGGAATGGAATCTAACAACCCATTTCCAACCTGAACCCATTTATTT